GCGTTCAAGTAGGAGTTTCACTAGCACCCAGTGTAAACTGTGTGCTCTTGATCGTCAGGCCGCGAGTGGCACACAGTGAGAGCAATCTATTACAACTCCCAAGTGGCTCAGCCAATACGATGCTACACCGTTACTTCTACGCACAACGCGTCATCACGTCCGACGTGTGTGGTGCAATGACGTAGTAGGAATACTCGATCGCTGCTACTGTATCGTAGAGGAATTCTGAGAGTAAAACTGATCTGTACCAGCAGGATAACACACGGTGGGATACACCTACTGATAAGTGATGCATACCTACCCCTTCCGAGTTCTAAGCTAAGTATCCTCAATCGTGGCTGATTCAAGTCAGATCACACACTAATCATCCACTTGGGCAGCTGGATATTACAAATTGACACCATTTGTGTTTGGTGCTGAGGTGGGGTTTCCCACGCAGTAGAACGTGTAGCCAATAGCAGCTACACGCAGTTTACCTTGGTCTGCAAGCCAAATCTCACTCAATGCGGCAGTATCAATACCGTAGCTCGCTAGTTCCATCGTGACCAGTGAAGTGCCTCACTCAAGCAATGATTTGTGTCCCAGTCCAGGAAGGTGCACCCGCCCTAACATCCAAGCTTGACCAGTTTGTGTCAGATAATCACTGGAGTGGGCTTGCAGTAAGTAGGGTGGGTGGGTCAGGTGAACTGAGAACAGGAAGGGGAGAATATAGAGGGGAAAAGGAAGAAAAAGAAAGAGAGACGTCAGCGGTTGCATGTTATCATCTGCTCACATAGCTGTATTCCGCAATAAGGCCACAACTTCCCACCGAGTAACGGCCGGTGTAGCTTGAAAACATTTGTATTATTATTTTCCATTATATTTGGTTTCTGGGCCGAAATACTGCCAGGGCGCTGAGAGCTGAGCAGAAGAACTACTTATGCAATGTGCTCCCATGAGTCTTTCGACGCAGGCAAATGCGGCTTAGCGTTTAGCTTAGAGAAGCGCGTCCAGCGGTCGCCTCAAGGACACGTTCAGATCATGTGTTTGTTGTAAAACAACGGCAGCAGAGGAATTTTATTCCGTCAACAAATCACCCCAAAAACTCCGACTAGCCATGGTCACTTGATATGTATATATATATATATATATATATATATATATATATATATATATATATATACGTGGGTTGAATAATTAAAAGCTGGAAGCCGAAATCTTGGATTGTTTTCTGAGCCATGGAAGAGGTGTGGGATGGCGCATTATCCTTGTGGATAATGGCCCATTCCCTCAACATTCCTGGCATACATTCTCGAAGTTTTTCACAAAGACGTTTTAGAAGCTCACAGTAATAATTTCCGGTGATTGTATGACCTCTTCCAAAGAAACTAGACATCCCCATTCTTCGGGAATCCCATAAAGCTGATGTCAGCAGCTTGTCAGCTAACGGTGTAACCTTGACCTTTCTTGGCGCAGTAAATGATGCACTCTTCCTTTGCCTTAATTGTTCTTTTATTTCTGGTCGAAGCTGGTGAACCCATCACTCATGCTTAGTATGGAATTACCAAAGGAGATCATACAGTAGCAAATTTTGCTTGGACATCACGAATCGAATGCGCGTTTGCTCAGGAGTCAGAATACGTAGCACTTATCGAGCAAACGCTTGTGAGTAGCCTAATTTCTTCTTCAGAATATTATTTGCTCGCTCTGGGAAAATGCCCAACTTCCATGCTAACTAACGAGTTGTTAATCGGCGATCTTTTACGATCATATCAATTACTAGGTCACGATATTCTTTCGCGGTGACGGTTAATGGTATCCCTGAACTGGACTTATCTTCACTACTCTCCCTGTAGCGTTAAATCCCTTGCATCCAACGTTTAACTGTGGCATATGAAGCGGCATTGCCATCCAATGTATTGTGTATATATTGGTGGATTTCAGATAGTGGTAGTTCTTTGAGTTGGAAATATTTGATCATTGCACGGTATTTCTATTTCTCCATTTTCACTAACTTGCATACCCTATTCGAATCAAGTATCTGCTGAAATGAAAGTAAATGAGGTAGAACCCTGAATTTGTATTATATGTCCAAAGAAAATTGAGTGATTATAAATAGCTTTATTTGGTTTGCCTAGCTAACTGATTTCTGTGTCATGCTCAAACCATTTCATTCAACCCGCGTATATATATCTGGCAAGAAACATATATAAGCTCGCGGATTTTCCTGCTGGCGTTTGTCATGAACATCGGATGCGAGTTCGATTGCATGTTCAGGAGCTCGGTCAAAGGTTAACGGTCTAAAGGATGCTACTGAATAAATTTTAAAAGTTTGATCTTACTCTTTGGCGCTGGTTTTACGTTCGTCTTTATTGTTTTGATAATGGTCAACTGGGTAATACGCTTCTTATGCTACATGCAGTAAACACGTCCCGTTACTACAGTATTGTAGAACCTGTCGACAGACCCCAGGGGTTCGATTCTTGTAAAGAACTCGGCATACGTTCGTGTTATTCATCAAGCAGCTTAGCCGCATTCGTTGCGCGCGATTGGGAACATGTCAGACAGCCATGGCCGTGGACATATCCATAAAAATGTTTTCGTGGCAATATCAATCTCCCGTTAGTGCATCGTGTTCAGCCCCAAACGACTTACGATGAGGTATTTATAACTGGTATTTATAACTGGTTTATGCTTTAATAATTTAGTGGACAACGTCGACGTACAGTAATCTACTGTCTTTGCTGCCACCTATGTTCACCTAATCACACCAACGTGGGTGAAGAGCATGCTAACATCTGGTAACAAAAACGTGGCTATTTTTGTCACCTCCGGCAACTTTAGAAGTTTGGTTGCCATGTCTCGGGTTTTCTATCACGGCATTATTAATCTAGATTCCATCACTTGACATTGGAACTTCAGTAGCCCTCAGCCTGCACCGGTATTAGCTCAACGTGCTTATTCATTCTCGGACCCCCTAGTTATCCAGTGTTAGTGCCTTGCTGTTACTGGTACGTCTAATATCTTTACTTGTACGAAATCAGGGGACGCTACAAGTATTGTAAGCGTGTGTTTCTTTTACCGAAGTGTTAAGATCATGTTTGGAAAGCATCAACTTGCTCCATATATATGTCCTTCCTAATTGTCCGCTTTTGAACTTCTTTGCCTAGTGTCTACGAACCTCACATGTTTCGAATATGAGGACTGACACAGATTCACTAAATTCAGACTTGATGGTAGCAGAGTTGACATTTCCGCAGACATCCAAACCGGTAACGGAGTGCGGTGCAAGCTTTCGTTCCACGCATGGAAATGTATCCAATCTGTTGGCAAATACACGAATTTATTAGTATTGTTCCTGTCACCAGGATTGGAAAAATCACAGTTTTATTGAACAAAAACCCCAGTCGCTAACTGGTGTTGTCACTACTCTGTTTACTTAGCACTTTGTAACGTGCATCCTGTCAGCAACGTAGCTGTCCATTGAGACCTTAGCACACATCACCGAATGAGTTTTACTCATTGATGTGAATGAAAACCTCACCAGGTGTATTTGTCAAATCGGATCAGAAGGGACAACTCATTGACGAGGACTATCAGCCCAATCTAATTAACATCCAATTAGTTAGGGTCGACTGAGTTGCAAGAGGGCATTCCTAATCTGGCAAGCAAAGTGGTTACAAAGACCAACTTCGTGTTCAACCGCAAAAAAACGATGAAAAGTGACATCCGGATTCTAACGAGAACAACGTAATGAAAACTGAGGGTCTTAGCCGTAAGTCCGGAGATGACTGATTTAAAGCACCTTTCTAAGTGGACCTGAGGTCCTGTTTTGTACCAGTACTCCCGCTTGAGCTGTGCTCTTCTACCGCGTTCTTCTTAGCTTTCCGCTAGTCCTTGCCTTTATGTTCGATTATGAAAACCACACATTTTGAGGTAACTACAGGCCATTCCGTAGACGGAAAGTATTTCCGAAGAGCCGGTATTATGGGTAATCCTAACGCCAAACATTCTGCTCAGCGATCAAGTTCGTCTTTGTTCGATCTACTCAGGTACTAGCACCGAGAATAAAACCAGGGATGCGTAGTTTGTTGGCAGACGCTTCATCTTCATTCCGACTGTTGTAATATGGGCAATCTGCTGAATCTGAGCCGCCAATACAACGCCTACCAACTACCTACATTGGTCGCGTTATCACTGTAGTTCCCACGGTTGGCTTTCGTTTCTTCGAGCATCCATGAAGAAGAAAGCATGAAAAGCGTTCTAAAATCGGTGTAATCGGTTAATGAAATGACTGACAACCATGACAAGGAATCCCGTGGCAATATAGGTTAGTTTCTCCCTGACAGGTCCAGTAATGTTCGCAATTATTGAGTTGGTCTACACCGTTGATCTTGTGCAGTAGGGTGGTAGGTACTATCCAAATTGGTCTTTCGATCTTTTAGTTCCTGCCGTCCGATGGCCACCTCCAAACTTTATCGGACTGGATGCGCTGATAACGAACATCCCACTCCGAGACACCTGGTGTTTGGCTAACGGGTGACACAGTTCAAAGAGCGTACGCGGTACGAGTTCGATTTCGCGATATTCGATGATCCGCTACACTGCTGAATGACAGATCACAATATTATTCCTTCAGTCTTCTCTTCAGATTTGTGTAGCACTTCTCCAATTCCAGCCATATAACTTGTGGATGCACATGGGCGACAGCAGCTCTGTACGCCTCAAATATAGACTAACTTCTGTTAATGGTTTTAACGAATCGATTCACATAAAGCTTTATAGGAGTTACTCGCGCGTGCGTTCATCTGGTTTGATGCTTCACGGACCGAGGTCTTTAGGCCATTTAAGTAAAAAGACGGCTCCTTCAAATGTTATGCATACATGATAATCACGGTAACTGGTAGGGCACAATTACAGCCTTACGGTAGTATTTAACAAGTCGCTTAAGGAATTTGTAAATTGGTAAATGTTTTTTGTTTTTTATCTGATTTGGCTTAATTTTCTGGGTCCCCCCACAGCATTCTAGTGAACACAAAACAGAAAATGATTCTGGAATACATGAACCACCAGCCCTCGATTCAAAAGAGCATTTGCACAGACATGCAAAGGAACAAAAACCTTTGTCTATACCCAGTTGCCCGGTACGCCCGAGTGGATCATGTCCGCTAGTGCGATTTCTTCTGGAGCATGGCGCCCATGTGAATGCTAAGGATATACTGGGACGCACGTCGCTTCATTATGCCGCCATACACGGAGATGAGTTGGCCACTAGACAACTACTTCACGATGTAAACATTGATGTCAACGTAAGTCCCTGGTGTGGCCGTTGCGATAAACTCTAAATGAATTAGGTCTGATAAAGATAGATGACAGCCACTTACGACTAGCTCTTTCAACAACTGCAAGGAAGTAGATCTCTAGGAAATGATAACGGCGGTGAAAGCTCAACTACTTAGAAGTCTTCGCACTAATCTTTTGATGCTAGCAAGGTTTGCTTGTTTTGCCTCTGCCCGATGTCCATATCAGACTGTGGGTTGAAAAGAAAAACTTTAAAGTAAATAAGTTAAAGGAACGGTTAAACAGACCGGCCTCTTCTTTTGAACTTAGTCTTTCGAGTAGTTAATGATGACCAGGTGTTTGGCGCTGCCCAGATGAGCAGTTAAAGCACTGCTTAAGGTACAGAATGCAATGCTGCAAAATTGACCGTTAGAACGTTAATATAAGGAGAGAAGGCATTCTCCTTCTCTAACAGTCTACCAGTATTCAGGTACATGGGCAGTGGTGTGACTATGTGTGCGACGTCGATATGTACCCCACACCCGTGTAAATTGCATACACCAGACAGTGTACCAACATGCGTACAATGACCTATCGAATCCTATAAGGAGAAAAAGCAACGAGCCTCTCAGAGATCACTACAGTAGACACACTTTACCTGGTGGCGCCATCAGCTACATTTCCGGTGTCAAACATCGCCCAAGAATGTTTCCCACTGATTTTCCTATCTAAGTAGTCCTAGGAATTTTATGTGATTTCGTCGCTAGGTTATTCGCGATTATTTCGTAGTGTACTCTTTCTAAAGTGAACAAAGATGTTTCCAGCATTACTCTTTTAGCATACTTCCAAATCTAGTAATTTGAAGTCTTGTAGGTGGCTACTTCCAGCTCGATTGATTATTCCGTCGCCGAGAGATTCTGTGCAAATTCTGCGCTTCTCTCCAAGCCAAGCCGGTCGACAGCAAACGCTTACTAAATCAAGTATGGCAACACACTCAAGCGAAATTAAATCGAGTAGCATTGACAGATGCTCATCAAACATTTTGTCTCACGCCGAGGCCTGATCAACAATTTATGATAATATAGGATTCATCAATGCTTCTCTCCACAAATTAGGCGAGGGAGATAAGAAAGCACCTTAGGTTACGGCGTATAAGATGATCCGCATATAAGCTGACAGTATGACTGCAACATCAAATTTGTCCAAAATCTAGGTCCTCAGATTAGCCGATCCCCAAAAATCATCAAAAAGTGAAACGAAATAGTTTCTCACGATTTTGACTTCATCCCTATCTGTTCACACATGAGTGTACGCAAGCGAAAGCTGCTCTACTATTAGGCAGCTTTAGCAACCTAATGTGTTATGATCGCAGTTGATGAGCCTTAGGGCCGTCAAAACAACGATTCTTACCGCATTGGACAGTGTATTGATTAGATGTCAAGTTACACGAAACAGGTAAGACAGCCGACAATATTGAGTAAGGTGAAAGTGTATGTCGGACATTGCCTCGCATGGTCGGGGGCCTCATACATCTGCATCGCAGTGAAGCAAAGAGTGTGAAGGAACTTCACCATCAGTGGTGTGGGACGACGTTGTGCTTTTAATGCACCAGATAGACTAGCATAGCATAATGCATAAGCGCTGTGATCCGCTAACCAAAATAGCGCTAATGCGACGTCACAAGATCCAGCTGAGAGGGGATGTGCCCACATTTCGTGCGGTCGTCCAACGCCGTGGACACGTGAAAATATGTCTGGACAGAAGCGATGTGCATAAGCTGCTGTCTTTAAATTGATAGTTATCGTGTTTGCCAAGCAATCTGATAATTGTATGACTGCACGCCATTTCACGGTGAATGAAAAGCAAGTGAGAGAATAAAGATTGGAAAAGTCAGAATTGTCACTAATGCCGGTAGGCAAGAGAGCAACACGCGGTAGAACAACCATGTTTCCTGCACTAGAAGCAAAGTTAGTGCAGTGGGTTATGGCGTCATGGCACAGCGGGTTAATCGTTACCGTAACGAACATTAGGATCAGGATGCTTACAATATTAAAACGTCCGTAATTCCGGACATCAAAACCGGTGGATTTTGTTGCTTCCTCCGGATGGCGCAGTTGTTTTATGAACTGATTCGACAGATGTCTACGGAACCGCATACAACTAGTCCAGAAACTGCCGAAGGAATTAGATAGTAGTTGAAACTTTTCAAAAATTCGTGATTTAGCGGATAAAGCAATACGACTTTGAACCGTCCCAAATAGGAAATATAGATGAAAGGCCCGTGTGCTTTGATATGCCTCCAAATTGCACGGTGGAGCAGAAAGGTGCCAACACAGTTTTTGTGAAGATGAAGGGACTACAGAAGACACGGTTCGCAGTTGTTTTAAGGAGTTTGGCAGATGGTTCCCGTCTATCACCTTTTACTTTTTTTATTCGTAAGACGCTGCCTAAAGGATCGAAATTCCCAAGCAGCTTGTTTGTGTGGGCTCACACGAAAGGATAGATGGAAGAGAGTGGTTGGATACAGTTTGGGGAAAACGAAGCGGTGCCCTTTTAAGGAACCCCATATGCTAGTTTGAGATTCCTTTAGGGCACACCGAACTGAGAAGGTGGAAAAACGATGCGGTGAAATGAAGTCGTCCGCGGCTTTAATTCCGCATGGCCTTACAACAATTTTGCAGCCACTAGATGTCTATCTCGAAAACCCTTTAATGTTAGGCCTTGGGCCAGGTGGATTGAATTGATGGGATCCTCTTATTTAGCCTTGACGAAGGGTTGCAATGAGAAAAGGGCTTACATTGCTACAATTGCAGGGTGGGTTAAAGAATTATGGCTGGATATTCCGTCAAAATTATCGTACGGTCATTCAAAAAGTGCTTCATCATTAATGTTATGGATAGAAGTGAGGACGATGCCATTTTTGAGGAATACGACAATGACAAAAGAAGTGAAGTTAAAGATGACGATATTTACGCTGACACCCCAATGACAGGCGACCAGTTCCACAAACTGTTTGAAGATTCTGACTCGAATTCTAGTTTCTAAGGATTCGAATCATTTTAGTACCATTGTGCAGCGTTTGGATATGTAAAGCTATAAAATCGACCGTTACGTACTGTTCTATCATGTCTTTTTCCAATGTTATTGTGTGTGATGGTGTTCGATGCTGTATAATCAGTATGTTTTAGTTACTGCCATCCGTCGTGAAACTCAAATGTGCAATAAACGGAGAATTTTCGACACAAACAAAATGTGTTTACCTATAGGCATTTCAACTCCCCTTCTGGGCTACCGCCTCTCACTAGCGAGTGGTGCTAAGGCAAGATAGGGGCATAGGTGTGCTGTGCATTTGGGTGGATTTTGCATGCGATTTGTTCAAATTGTTCAAAGCCTATGTATAACCAGACTCCTCACTACAGACATGAGAAATTGTCCAAAATTCCTCGGTTTAGAAACGGTAATAGACGATACGCATTATCAGGCACATTAAATTATGCTGCATCATTCCTGTAGATTCCAGACCACAATGGAACTCAACCCCTACACTTGGCAGCCCTGCACAATGAAGCGGGTATCTTCAGACAGCTGCTGAATAAGAACGCAAACATCTATGTCGAAGATCACTGCGGCTGCCTTCCTGTGAGTCAGTTATTAATCTATGTTGCACCACATTCTCTAGAGGTCAGAGAAGCTGTATGATAAAAGAGATGTCAGGGACCACCTATTGAAACTACTATATCACTGAGCTGCAAGCCTTTGGTGTACATTGCCGATTTACGAACTGTGAAGCCTTTAAAGTTATTAAGTGAAGTTGCTCGTGTAACAGCTTGCAATGCAGATGTCTTCAAGATAGCCCTAGTGACTAGCTGATTGATACTAATTCCTGTTACAAACTCGGTAAGTATACAAGGTATGTCAGTGCTTTAATAATATATATTGCTGACACTTCTCTCTCATTGTCATCTCCTACGGCAATAAGGTCTTATTGGGAGGTCAAGCGGTTAATGAGGTAACCAACTGTCTAACTACAACGCCACGAGCCAAGGAGATCTACGATTTGCATAAAATACTCCATGGCTAGACTACTACTAGCTCCAGTGTCCAAAATAAAACCCCTGTTAAAAACACAACTAACTATTCTCCTGTTGGCTTGGTATGCGTAACCCATAGGGAATTCGTAAGGTAGCACAAAAATGCAGCATTCAGTGTGATGCGGAAAACCAGTTCAGCCCAAGTAAACAACTGTAATCTATGCCCGGAATTGAATCGGATCTGGTGGCCGCCGCTAGTGACGCTTTACCAGTAATGATAATAAACATTATCAGCTTACATGCCACCGCGATTGGTGGCGGCTAGCCAAGGAAGTCGTTGCTCTAGGGGCCAGCCTTGTCCTCTGTATCTTTATAACATGCATGACAGTGGAGGATGAGCCGAGCTATATCGCAGTTAGATATCATTCATGACAGTCCGTTGCCGTCGCCCATGGCACAGCGGCATAAGTTGCTGGCTCGCAGAAGTAAGGTCGTGTGCTCGAAGCCGGTAGGATTCGGTGGGTGTACGTTAGTGACGAGTGCCAATAGGACGAAGCGGCCAGCTAGCGCTTTCCTGGTTGTGTGGTGGCTGTCTGCGTAAGTCTAATTGCGACGAGTCTTCATGAAAAGACAAAATACAGCAAAACAAATATGGATGTAACAGACTTAACAAATGGACCATAAAGGTGTTGGTTGAAGCAATCAGGCTTGCTGTCTAAACTCTAATTGCAGTGAGCTAATGCAAAGGAAACATTGTTCGCGCAATGGCGCCGTGTGGGATAAACGCTGAAACCAGTGCCATGGGCAATCACAAAATCACGCTGCACAATACGATACCCACCAGTCCATCAATTCGACTTAGTCTATTCGCTCATACCTTTCTACTAGTTTGTCGGCTCGCCACAAGATGGCTTCAACCAACCGTTTAAAAGTAATTGGAAAATTATCATGCATAAGATATATAGATAGACCATCGTATGAGTTTAATAGTTAACTAATCGTTGGCCAGTCGTCACGCCTCACACTTCCACGATAGGTTAAGGTTCAGAGTCAACAGTTTCTGCACACAAAACAGCGGCCGTTTTCGATCGATGACGATGGCTTCCAATGGCCTGAGAATGCGGGGTCGCTGATTGCAAATAAGCACGGGGCTAACTCGGGAGCATTGTGCTTGCGAGGCAGCTCCATTTCTCAGTTCACCCGATTCCGCTGTCGCCAAACCCATCCGGCCACGTTGCCACTTAGAAATGTGCTCATTGATTCCGACACTTCGGGTTTAATGCCCAAGACTTCTTAGTAGATTTCAACCTGTTTGTCTGCACAAGCGGACAGCTGATAGTGTATGAATGATCATAGGTGGACTAGTTTTCGTTCTGTATTCGAGCTAGTGAGAATGTGATCCAAAACGGTTTTTTAAGTAAACACAAACAGCTCTTCAAATTTAATCGGTTAAGGTTCGATAGCAACAATGAAGCTTTGATCACATTTCGGTATGATACTATACAGACCAAAGCTTAATATTCTCACTCACTAAAAGTCAACAACGTAACCGAAATTTCCAATTTCAGACAGTTACTACTTGGATGTTTGTGAGTAGTGGAAAGTTTGTAGAAGTAGAAGTTACGATTAAAATGCACGCACAATAATGTACCTCGACGGGGACTGGCACCCCGATCCACGAATTTCCGGTCCGCTGCTCTACCACTGAGCTACCGATGGCTGACGATTAGGTGCGCAAATTCTGATACATGACTTCTGCTTGGATAGACAACAAACTACATGGTCCACTCAAGCTAAGTGATTTTATGTGCTATGGGGGTGGTCTACACTTTTACGACTCCGTTCTGCATTGCTTAACAATCTGCTCCATTCCACAGATACACTACGCGTGCTCCTCAGGCAATCTCGGGTTGGTAGAAATGCTCTGTGGCCGCCTCGAGTCGAATGAGACAGTTTCAATGCTGAATAAGAAAAATCGTGAACTAGAAACGCCGCTTCACTGGGCTGTCACTTACGGCAACATCCAAATCACGGATTATTGCATAAAAATGGGTAAGTCGATCGGTGCAAGGAAAGTTATAACAATCGTGCCATAGAGGACAGTGCATTGTATCGGCACAGTAACTGGTATTCAATGCTAGGTATTGCGACCGTAATGAACAACTTACAGGAGAGAGTCTTCAGGAATTGAATGCTTTGAGAAGAATGCAAACGTTTCACTGTGACTATCTCATTCAAGGGTAGAAACTGACTGCAATCCGGTCTTTTGCACTTTGAAATTGTCAGCTGACTACTTTTCGTGTGTGGGGTGCAGTAACTTACACCCACTGGTAGAGTGTGCACAGATTGTTGCCGAACATGACCTGGAAGTTTCACTAAGAGAATTCCATTCGGCTAGATTACAGTCAACCAGAATTCCTCCTAGTAGCTGACTACATGTGTTTGGTCGCACTCATCCGCGAATATGTTTACGTGCTAAAATTTCATGGATATAAAGTCTTCTGCCTAAATGTTTTTAGAGGGACAAATAGATTAGAGTACAGATGTTGCAATTCAGGAAATTTAGACCCCGCTCCACTTTTATGAACCACAAGTCCTGTCGTTATGTGTACATTGTTTCCGATCTCTTAATGTCCACATTTCCCAAAATCAGGCGCGGATATCGAAAGCAAAACAAAATCCGGAGAAACATGTCTTCACAAAGCGGCGAGATGTGGAAATTTGGAACTAGTTATGTTGCTTCTGGATCACGGAGCGGTATTGGACGCTGAGGACGAATTAGCACAAACTCCGATACACAAGGCTGCTGAGCATAACGGAGCAGAGGTGTTGCGATACCTGCTTAAGAGGTAGGCTGAAAGTTGTACAGGCGCAATAAACCTTATGCGCTATTCCCTGTAGCTTCAAACTTGCATGTTTTTTCCACAAAGCGTGCAACCAAAGTGCAAGTGAAACCTAAAGTACACAATCTTTACTCCGTGTGTTCAAACGTAAGCGTAGACCATCGCAATGATGATAAGGAAATTAGCAATATTTTCAGAACAACAAGATCACAATTGTTGCGGTTCAGAGGAAACAGGTATGATGAGGTACGGTTGTGATAATCCAGAGTTGTAACACATGTTGCCGTTCAAGTGATTAGCGGGTAACTCGAAAGGATAGTGTAAAGATTGTTGTACAAATTCGATCAGTGTAAGGTTTTCAACTACTGATGATTTTTGTTGTTAATTCAAACTTTGTGGTCCTCTAATCAAATCAGGCTTGATTAATCTTACGTCTATGGTCTAAACATTGCACTGGTAACAGGAACGCGGTTTACAACTGACACCAGGTGTCTTACTGTTGTCGCACTTGTCGGTGCATCCAACGGCTGCGTTAATATCACTCGGTAAACCGCTTTGACTGTACTCAACAGATGTGCTACGATATCTGTACTTAGGCTAGGAAGTCCATATCAACTCAGCGCAGTACTGCGAGATTCCCTGACAGTCTGAATCCTTATAACTGCATTTTCCTGATAACCATACATAGTCAAGATTTAGCGTATTCCAACTCTTAATACTCCTTTCTCCAGTGCTGAATGTCTGCGCTAAGCCCGAGCTCGCTTTTAATGGTAGCCAATCAATAAGTGAGATTGGACAAACAATGTGATGTTGGGGGTATTACTAACCTGAAATTATGGGTCATTTTGTAGTAGACGTGTGGATGGATTGTGACATGCAATCAACATGTTGACCGCCATTCCCGTTGAACATTGGTCTTTCGATCACGAGGACTGTAGGTGATGCAAATAGAAATTGGGTGTCGTCCGCCCGAAAACACTGCACTACTATGACGCGTTTCGATGTTATTACATCTCATCAGATAGTGTTAACAGACATCTAACCCGGGACCATTGGGGTGTTAGTTGTGACCGCTACCCTTAAGCCACCGGGTCAGGACGGGTAAAGCTTGGCGCAAGGGTTTTATGAACGATGTTGAGGGTCATTTTGAATTACACGTTGTGTGGATGAATTGTAACGCGCAATCTCAATGTTAACCGCGATTCCCAATCATGTGTACTATTGTCATTCGATCATTATGACTGTAGCTGATGATGCAGAATTAAATTGGGTGCTGCCCGCCAGAAAACACTGCACTACATGGCGCTTTTCGATGTTATTTCATCTTGTCAGATAGGGATATCAGTCAGGGATAGTGATCATCATTAACATCCCAAAAGTCCCGGGTTTGATACCTGCGATCTCTTTCTGATGAGATGTAATAACATTGAGACGCATCATGGGACTGCAGTGTTTTAGAGCACACATCACCCAATTTCTAACCTGAAATCGTTTGCTGAATGGTTTTGATTACAAGTACTCTAAGCTGCGCTGCACGGTTAATAAACAATTGCTTCAAATTGGAGTGAATAATGTGCAGTCACCTATGGAGCACGCATGTAAGTGATCAGAACTCAAGATAAAGTAGGCCGAGTATCGTCCGGCCAATGAATGTTGGCACCTGGAGATGTGTCAGGGGAGAGAACCTGTGACCGCCACCGACGAAGCCCCAGCTGAGATAATAGACAACTATTTGCTACCGGCATACAACCATTGTCTACCAAGTCCCGCAGGACGATCAAGTCGTAAATTCAAACGCACTACATATGGGAGTCAGCAACTAAAGCCTCTACAAACGAAATTGTGAAAAGATAACCTACTGGAAGCAAATAAGCAACTTCTTACATGTACCGGTGAAAAACGGCGACAAGAGAATGGGGATAGATTTTGGCACACAATGCAGCATACGAGGTCTTTATAATTCGCACTATTCATTAGAGAAATAAGCCGTCTACCCCTGCTTTTCTTCCCGTGTATCCATGCAGTGGATAATTTCCGTAAGTTGGCGGTAAACAGAACGATTTTTGGCCAGTAGACGTTAATCGTAATCTAGCCTGTTTTGAGTTGGATTATCTCGTTCAACGTCTTAAAACATTCACAAGTGCTTGGTATGTCCTGTGATAAATGTATACAACCTCCATCAATCAACAATATTTTGTCGTTGATTTGAACATGCTGCGCAATCATATACAGTCGATTCCGGTTAATAGGACCACCGGTTAATAGGACCAGCCGCTTATTCGGGCCAAATTCTGAAGAACCGAAACGAATCCTATTACGCTAGCCTAATTTTAGCCGCTTATTAGGACCGGAATTCCGCTTAATCGGACCAGACGATAGAAGGTGGCAGGTAACAGAGGTGTTAAAATCAAATTATGGGCCTGGATCTCTGGACTAAACCCACATTTCATATGTCGGGCAAGAAAGCGTATCATTCCATTACGGTAATTCGAGTTGGCCTTTGGATAAACTGAACTGTGGCAACCTTGAGGCACATCTATCTAATTGGTTTCAGAACCGCCGGAAACTGACTGTAGTTTCCAACACTTGCTTGTTCACATATCGTTAACCGCTCGATCGATGTACCGCACGTCCATTGAGCCGAATGCCCTGAGCCCGCATTGCGGGCCTATGCTCGAGCAGGGCAAGTGATCGCGGACACAGGTCCGGCAAATCATAGGACAGCAGGTGGCTAGGTCAACCATAGAAATACCCGGGAGACAGACTGGAGTTCACCTCAGTGAACTGTGCGTGTCATGTTGCATGTTAAGAAAATGCCACGACGGGACTTGACGTTAGCTGAGAAGATTCGTTTCCTAGATCAGATCAAGGAACAGGGACCAACCACTAATCAGCGTCGATTGGTGGAAATTACCTGCTTGGCAAAATCTACAATATCGAGCCTGATATAAAGAAGAGAAAGATCTGCGAGAAGAATGGGCACAATGTGAAGGACGACGAGGTACTTCCCAAAAACGGAAGAGTGAAGGCAAGGATCCAGACGTCGCTGAGATCCTTAATGATTGGTTTGCCTTTGTTACTGGACGAGCCGTGCGAGCAAGTGGCCCAATGTTAAAATACAAAGCAGAAGAACTCTCTAAAATGCTGGGCCACGAAGATTTTATAGCTACGGACGGCTGGTTGTCTCGATGGAAATCTAGACATGATGTAAAATTTAAGAAAGCACATGGTGAGAAAGAAAGTGCTAATAGCGCTCGAGCTGAAGAATGGAAATCAACGAAACTACCAGAGCTTCTTGAAAAATTTCCAGCAGATGACATCTATACTGCTGATGAAACCGGGTTGTACTATAGGGCTACACCGGACGGCTCCTTAAGTTACAAACGTGTTACTCTCTCTGGCTACAAAAAAGCAATGGACTGCGTAACTGTTTTTGTGCTGCTCAAACATGTCCGGAACAGACAAGGCGAAGTTGCTGGTTATAGGAAAATGTGCTAAGCCTCGCTGCTTTAGGGGAGTCAGAATTGACAGTTTACCAGTTGTGTATCGTGCGAACAGAAATGTATGAATGAGCTCTACACTTTTTAAAGAATGTGTGAAGGATTGGGACACAGAGCTACAACGGCAGTCGAGAAAAGTGTTATTACTTCTCGACAATTGTGCAGCGCATTGAAATTTGGATTTCTTGAAGAATATCCAGATGGAATTTCTGCCTCCCAAGACCACATCTTTGAAACAGGCAATGGACATGGGCATCATAAAAAACTTGAAGACCTTTTATCGTTCAAGGTTGAATCAATTGAGGAAGGCTTGCTGACCTCATCCTCGACGGCCGGAGAAATCAGTGCAAAGGTCAACATTTTGCAAGCCGTTACATTCGTGGCCGAAAGTTGGCGAAAAATGAACAGTGCGACAATTCGGAACTGTTTTTCTCACTGTGGTTTTAAGCATATTGTCTCGGAGATGGATGTGGATATGGTCATTGTAAACGAAAATGACGGCGAGAATGTGGAGCAGAAACAAGTTGAAAATTACGAAGAATTTTTGTCGATCGACAACGAACTTCAACTCTATAATGGAAATGAAAAATGCGATGCTGCCGTTGTTGCTCGAATAGCAGCGAAACACACGACAGCAACCATGGAAGTGATGAAGAGAACCCTAACGTGTTGATGCCAGTCACAGAACAGGATGCAAGGAAATGCATTGAAACATTGCACCGCTATTTCATGCAGGAAGGAAATGAACGGAGTCCTGTTACTGCGTTACTTGTTTGTGGTGATTTTGTGCGAATGCAGTCTGTTAAAATAATGCGTCAAACCACACTGGATACAGTCTTCAAGCGCTGAATGGGAATCGGTAATCCCTTTGTATAAAATTGTACTTTGCGTGCTGAATATCTTGTAGGTCGTTACGTAGCATTTGTTTGTAAATTTATTTTCAGTGAACAAAGTTCGTTATCAAAGCAGTTCATTTTTGTGTGTTTGCTATAAATATATGCCGCCAATAAGGGTCATAATAGTAGTTTCCTATGTTATGTATAGCACGTCCCATCTTGTTACATCGGGTAAATTCGGTTAATCGGACCAGCCGCTTAATAGGACCAAAATGGTCTGGTCCCGATGTGGTCCGATTAACCGGAATCCACTGTATATGTGATTGCTCTGAACCAACACGCAACTCGTCGCTGGTTGTTTGATGGCACAATAAATGCCACCGAATTGTCAGCGGCATCCATCTTCTCACAAATTAATAACCTGCATCAACAGAGGATGTCCGAACTCGGGTCAGAGTTTATCACCTTAATAGACCAGATTTTCCTTATTGGATGTGTCGTAATGTTGCATTGTCTCCGTCTCATGAGATTTCTTGGCGATAGGCGTGCACAGAGCAGACTGTATAAAAAGCATTTAGTGTTACTATCATCCCTAAGGCGGGTATTTGATTTCATGCCTTCCAGGTTATGAGCTGGATCTGTTTGGGTTGGAAAACGAGTAACCACGCGACGCTGCAAACTAAGGTTTGTTTAATTAATGGCGCAGTTTTCCCGATCAGAGTAAAATACTTGACAGGTTTTGTTTTAAATCGTGTGGGCTAAAAATCGGTAGTTAAGGCTTAGTATTTTCAAAATAAGTCATACTTTTTTAATTCCCCCGGAAACTAATACGTGTATGCTACCATGGTTAGCCTTATTGAGCATGTATAAATTACTTAACTATTCCCATTATTCTAGCACTTTCTTTCTGTAATTCGAAACACGCATTCAATAATTTTCTGCTTCAATCTTGCTTTCCAGAGAGATCGACACTGAAGTTCAGGACTGTAATTCATATACCCCACTTCTTCTCTGTGCTTCCAACGGACACATTGACGCCGCGGAAGTCCTCATCGAAGCCGGTGCAAACATATTTGCACAAGAGGCTGAAGGCAAAAACTTTGTACATTTGTGTGTGGAAGAGAATCGCCTGCAATTCTTGAAGGTCAGTACGACGTGACGGTTCAATTTTAGTGATATGGGGTAAAATACAAATGGTCCGTAAGGTACGCAAATGACTAATGAGGATCTGATGTGATTAGCAAGTAAGCGCAGTGTTTGGTGTTAAGTGTGCATATGCAGACGTAAGATTTCAGCGTCGTTCGGTGTTTGAAGGCTAACTAATGATAGTGTGGTTTATCTTTAATTAGTGTGCACATGGGTGTCTAGCATCGCTTGCCGAATATGAAAGTTATGGTATTCGACTGTCTAAGCAGTGGTTGCCATCAAATAGCAGGCACGCAACTTTTGATTCCGCGCAGTTGTACCCATCCTCAATTCAACTCACCAAACCTTCGAAAAGAGCCACCCAAGGTGTAAATGGATGAATGTCATTCAATGCGAAAGGAGGAGAAAAATCCGCTCAGTTGTTTAGCCAGTTTGGAGTCGTTACCGTTGAATTAAAGCTAAGTATTGGTGCGAAATTGGCTTTGAGCTTGCGGGTGGCTAAACTGTTATTAATGCGTCAATGATTGTCAGTTTACACTTATCACAAGTAAAAGTTTTTATCTCAAAATTGCTCTTTTAGGTTTGCCTGAACGTTTCTATCAGGGGGAATGATCCCACTCGGGTAGTTGCTTCTTGAGGACGAAGTAACCGAGCAAATTATACAACTCATTCACATACCGACAAACATTAATCGTGCAACCCAAAACTGAAAATTTTCATCAGGCGTGAGATACAATTGTTGTACAGTATCCAACGTTTCGCTTGGCGAAATGACGTGAATTTTAGCTTGTAAAAAAGACAGAACATCGCTTGTAAAGGAACTACCAACTAAATTACAAACAACATAGTCTTATCTAAGGGTTTATGCAATGTTTCTAAGCTAATCATCAAAGAGTTATCAACTTCTTGTGGTAAAATTTGAACCGCTTCAACGACGGTAGAAGTGCAAGACCAGATGGAGGATTGTGTTTAATCTAGCTCGGGTGAAATTACCCGTTGCAATCTGGCGCGCAAAGTCGTTGGATCGGAACCCAAATTGAGAATCTCTGGCCGCTTTTTCCTGGTAGCTACATAACCCTTGAAAGTCTAACGAAAAGTTTATACTCCTATAAATGAAGCAGAGGCTGCGTAAAAGAAAACCATCCAATAGTAAACAGTTTACTCCAGTGGTCACGAATTCGACTCACCTTGTGAATGCGTTATTGCTTGTTGTGAAGATTCGTCGCAGTGAGACACAGGCAGACGTTTACCCCACCTCCAGGAAAGCGCTAGACGGCCGCTTTGTCCTAGTGGGACACGTCAGTAGCGCGCAAATGTCGAATCCTACCGGCTTCGAACCAACTAACTTACTGTTGCGAGCCAGCGACTTATACCACTGAGTTATGGGGGACGGCAGCGGACCGCCATGGCTGATAACTAACTGCGATGCAGCGCGGCCCATCCTTCACTGTCATGCATTTTACTAACGTGAAATGATAGGGCTAGTCCCCAGAGCTAGGACTTCCCTTGCTATCCGCCACCAATGCAGGTGGCAGGTATGATGCTAAGACGACTGCTGATTAGTTGTAAGCAGCTAACACTTCAAATCGATTGGTTGCAGCTTGCAAAGGAAGTCGTTTCTCTGGGGTTAGCCCTACCTCCTGCACGTTCATAAAATACACGACAATGAAGGATGAACCGCGCTAAATCGCAGTTAGTTTTCAGCCATGGCGGTCCGTTGCCGTCGCCTATGGCTCAGTGAAATAAGTCGCTGACACGCATGAGTAAGGACGTGGCTTCTAATCCGGAAGGATTCAGCGAGTATGCGCTACTGACTAGTCCCAATAGCACGAAGCGGCCGTCCAGCGTTTTACTGGAATGTGGTGGCTGTCTACCTAAGTTTAATTGCAACCAATCTTCACTAAGCAGTAGTAGTATAGTCAGCAGTCCATCAAATAGACATAGAGCCAAACATAAACATGGAAAGCACTAAAAGAAGACAGGTTGAAGATCTTGTCAGCATCATGGCACCTTAAAAGGTGTAATCGGCTAAACGCTTCGAAATCTTGAGCGTAACACACAGCCACCGGTTGTTCGAGTTCAACAACTGGACGGATCAATTATCCCCGAGATGAGCCAAAATTCAACGCCGGTGTAACTGAGATGCTATTAAATAACAACAATTATTGTCAAAGGGGGAACAAACCTCAAACGGTTTCTTTACACAAAAGCAGTAATATCGGTGGATATCACAGAAGACCGGCTGAGGATTCTGATCCACTGGTCTTTTTAGGGGACCGTTCTATCCTCGGGTCGTGAACATTTGCTTTCAATTTATCCTGAGGGATCGTATATCTGGGTAGTACATGCTGACTTCCGTTGTTTCTACAGCCATTGATTCAAGGTTAGCTATTGCTTCGGATTTCGTCATGCCCAACTCACTCTGTTTACACTGCTCAAAACTGGTTACTCAGGGCATTCAGTGTATCGCTTGTAAATCCTGGGCCTGTGGTCACAAGCGTTGTTCGCAACTTACGGATTCGCTTTTTAAGATCTACGCTGAACACAAAGGCCTGTTATGGGTCTGTCGGTATTGCATTGATGCAGCTGCACTGGCAAGACGACCGCCGCTTCAGAATCTTGAGAGATGCTCATCCGTTCCTACTGCTAGAAGAGCCAGGAAGTGCAGCGCGATATCCCTCGGCGACCATCCAAAGAATACGACCAACCAAGTAGAAGACCTGTGTCGCACCTGTCCCCCCGACAACCTGAATACGTTGCCCACAGTTCCTCCATGCAGCGGGATTTTATCAACTGGTAAACCGGAGCAAGCACTACGGATCTCTGATGAGCCACCTCCTACTACAGTCGCCGATCATGGAACCAGAAACGAGTCACCTTGGATTGTTGCGGGAAAGAGACCTCCAGTTTTGACTCCGAGCGCCGTTACGCGGCCGTCCGTATTGTCCGAAACTGGTCTGATGCATCCTCGTAACCATTGTCTGATGATCTTTCATGCCCCGGAGTCAGAGAGTTCCGACCCGCGAATTCGTTATGAGCATGATGTCGCGTTCTTACAAAATTTGGTTGATAAACTCCTGGACCCCGATGAGCTAGGTATTCATATAAAACGAGTATTACGCGTGGGAAAACGAACGGCAAACACGCCTCGTCCGTTGCGAATTGTTTTTGAAAATGACGTCACCCCAGCGCGTCTTCTGTCCCGACTTTGGCGTCTAAACGGCCTGAAAATCCACGTGCGTGCCGACCTCACTTTGGAAGAACGAAATCGCCTTCAAACTGCTACCATTGAACTTAAACGGCGAACTCAACAAGGTGAGAGCAACATACATATCGTAAATTTTCGAGTAGTGCAGAAGCGCCAGCTGGTAAACAAGCCGGTGTTGCTAATGGCGCGCGCCCCAAGCTAGTTGCCGGTCTCACTGTGGCGCTTACGAACGTTCGCAGCC